TTGCCTCAAATTGGTTTTCTTCTAAAGAATTTTGGGTATGATGGGTCTGAAAGGGAAGAAGTCTAAATTTAACCAAAGATGGGCAGGGGAGATAGCTCAGCGCATAAGTGCCTGCCTGGCAAGGGCAAGGTCCTGATTTTGATCACTGGCATTGCTAAATAAATAAATTAATTGACCAAGATATGCTGATGTGGATTGCTTTGGGTAACTTCGGCAGGTTCTGAAAGTTACATTATTTTTTTAAAGATTTATTTACATATTTATTTATTTGGAACAAGTTCTCGCTATACAGGTGGGACTCATAGTAATTCTCCTGTCTCAGCCTCCCCAGCACTAGTATTACAGGCATGAGCTATCACACCCAGTTTCAGTGGCCAGCATAGCTCAGGGTTGGCTCCACATGAGGTATAAGAGATCGAACCCAGGACCTTGGGCTTTCCACGCAGGAGCATAGACTGCTAAGCTATCTCCCTGGCCCTTCATTCTTTAAAGTATAATTTTTAGTTATGGTTTTCTTGTCTTTTCTTTTTTTTTAACCTTTTTTTTTTTATCTTTTCTATCCTACTTCATATCCAGCCCTGTCACATCCACCAGGCTCAGTGGCAGGGATGAAAGGCGTGGAGTCAGCAACATGTATTTTTTACCGAGGCTAACCTGAAATACACTACTGAGTCCCCATGTGGGACCATTCCCTGAAGTGACCAGTCACTGAACCAGTGGCAGATCAGTGACACTGGACTGATTTTATCAAGGGACAGCATCTTGTTCTTGCCAGAATAGATATTTTTTTGAGACAAGATCTTGTTATATAGCTTGGACTAGACTTTAACTCACTGTATAGCCCAAGCTGGCCTTGAACTTGTGGTGATCCTCCTGCCTCAGCTTCCCTAGTTCTGGGACTACAGATATGCACTACAATGCCCAGCTTCAAATAGACATTTATTCTGGCTGTAGGTTTGCCTACTGTGTATGCAGCGCTTCTGCCAAAATCACCATCCATGGTCATACAGAATGTCTTATGCAAAGTTATGGTATTCTATTCAGCATTGCTTCTGACCAATGGATTGTTCAGAGCAAAAATGTGGCAACAAGGGCCAGGGAGATACCTCAGTAGAAAAGTGCTTGCCTGGCAAGCACAGGGTCCTGAGTTCAATCCCTGGTATGGAAAAAAAAAGTGGCAACAGGCCTGTGCTCATGAAATTCACTCATCTGACTGTTCCCTGCCATCCTGAAGCACCTGGTTTGATAGAAGAGTGAAATGGCCTCTTGAAGACACAGTTACATTGCCAGATAAGTAGTAAAACCTTGCACGCTAGAGTTCTCTGGAAGGATGAATATGCTGTAATCAACATCTAACATGATTCTGTTTATCCTCTTGCCAGGGCTCATGGATCTGGTGTGAAATGGAAGTAGTAGCGAGTCACTAGTGTAGTGGTGACTTGGTAGTAAAAGTTTTGCTTCTCATTGTAATAAGCTTGTGCTCTGTCAGCCTAGGGGTCTTAGACTTCTTCCCAGTCATTTTGGAGTTCTTCTGAGTTAACAGACAGATAAGAGAGTCTCTGTGCTGACCAGGGTCACCAGTGGGTCAGGCCTTTGGACTCAGACGAGAACTACAGCATCAACTCTCCTTACAATTAATATCTTCTGGGGGATGGGGAGATGGCTCAGTGGAATAAGTGCTTCCCTGGCAAGTGCAAGGGCCTGAGTTCAATCCCTGGTTCCACCAAAAAAACAAAACAAAACAAAACAAAACAAAAAAAAAACAACCAGTTAATCTGGAAAACCCATACTAAACAGTATAAAATATAAATATAAACAGTATAAAAATATAATATTAAAATCTCAATTATTTTCAATGACCAGATTGTATTTCAAATGATGAATGTGTTATAATTCCATCATTCTTACCGATACACAGTATTTTTCTGGTTTTTCCTAATTCCTCCACTGTAGCAATAAATATGTATACATATACATGTGCTGCTCTATGGAAAGATCTTAAGAATGACAAATAGGTGTTTGTTCTGTATGTGTGTTGTTTTGCATCATGTGCCTTAAATGACTTTCTCAAAGGAAGGCTCATGTATACAATCTTCACAATATCATGCATCTGAGGTTCCTTTATATATACTTTAAAACCATAGTTTACAGAATACCCAGTCAATTCATGTAACCTAACTTATGTTTTTAAGTGGTCCTGTTGCACTGCATAAGCAGAGAGAGTAGCGCTTTCTACAGGCAAAGGATATTGGCTAATTCATTACAAGAAGCCGAATGAGTCTCTGTGGGCTTCTTCTTGTAACAAACGCCCACTAGAATTATGATTTTGAATCACTTCCATGGCAGATTCCCTCTTTCCACACCCCTTTAAAGGGCAGCTGCGATAATTTGGCTTCTAACCAAGGTCTGCTGTACCAACAATTCTCTAAATTTTATTTATATTTCTGTGCAGTATATTCGAAGTGTCACTTTCCCAGGTGGCAGATGCTGATTTGGACTCATCCCAGTAGAAAGTGCTTTCCTATAAAATAATAAAAACAAAATGCTGAACAAACCATCTCTTTATATCAGAGTTAACACTAGTACACCCCAAAGCTAAGTACTCTAATGCTGACTTCACTATTTCCCCAAATTTCCTGTCCTCCAAATTCCTTCTTTACCTAACTTGACTCCGAATACTTTGTTCTTAACTGGGCATGGTGGTATACACCTACAATTGGGAAGCTGAGGCAGGAGGATTCTGAGATCTGCCTAGGACACATAGCAAGTTCAAGGCCAGAACTGTATAGCAAGACCCTGTCTCAAAAACAAGACAAAAATAATTTATTCTTTGGCTTCTATAAGATGTAAATGCCGACAATCCTTTTACATTTCTTTAATGTTCATTTGAAAGTGTCGAAGTGTAGAAATTTATCCATCTAATATGCTTTCAATCCTATATAACCCACATCCAGGGGTATGTCAAGGATGATCTGGATGAGAAAATAATACATTTTAACCCATTTAGGGGATTTTTAAAAATCCCAAAAACTTAATAAGCTTAAAATGTTCTCACTAAAAAGTGATGCTTCTCTGTGTTATAGATTGTCTGTGCAGTGGCCAAAATAAAACATGACACTCTCCTGAGAATTAACATGAAATTCGCTGTAGGATTCTTGCCAGGTTAAGGACAACCCACAATCAAATGATTCTATGTATGAAGTAAGCACTATTAGGTGGTTACTAAGAAAAACGTGTATCTTTGTAGAATTTGCCAGTCCACTTTTGGCCTCCCGCTCTACCTCTTTCACATGTTTATGTGACAACCTTTCACTGAGCTGAAAATTTACACAATTTCTTGTCCTACTCTAGACAAATCGACAACCTTAGGGCATGGAAATTTATATGTGTACCAAAAGCTTGAAGTTGAAGTTATATTCTGAGGCTTAACTGGTCTATGTGTGTGCATGCTCACAGGTATCCTGTATAAATAACAAAAGTTTGTTGTTTGGTCTTGTCAGCATCTCTCGCTTTTCATTCCTTGGACTCTCTGGTAGACCACTTACTTTTTCATTCATTCCATTAGGTGGCAGTAGGTGCCCAAGAATAACTTCCAAAGCAGTGGAACTGGGTTGAGTGTGGGGTGTGTGTGTGTGTGTGTGTGTGTGTGTGTGTGTGCCTGTTCTGTCACTGGGTTGGGGTAGCTGAGCTGATAGACACACAGAGGTCTTTGAGGAGGGTTGAGACAGGGTCTTGCTTCTTTGTAGGCCCAGGCTGTCCTTGAACTCACTATGCAGTGCAGGCTGGCCTCATATTCAAGATGATCCTCCTGCCTCAGCCTCTTGAGTCCTTAGATTGCAGGGATGCACCATGCCGGCTCAATACAGATTTTTTTTTTTTTTTTAATGAATGGTCTACAGGGTGTACAGAGTCTCACTATGTAGATCGGACTCGTAGTGATCTTCCTGTGTTCAGCCTCCCAAGTGCTGGTATTACAGGCGCGTGTCACCAGGCCTAGTCTCAATCCACCCCAGCCTCTGGGCTCTGCCGAAGCACGAACTTTAGTCCGCTGAGCTATCTGTCCGGCCCTTCAACACAGATGTTTTTGGTAGGTGGGCATGGTATCCATTTTTGTTAAGTGCGTGGGTAGACGTGGTGAGGATACAGGAGGACTTGCTAGAGACCATGCCTGTTTAATAAAGGTTATCCCTCTGCATCTGGAGCTTCTTGAAAGCTGGTTAAATAAATAAATTAGTGTCTTAGAAAATTTCTCAGCTTCAATACATTTGACGCAGTCAATGGAGCCAAATCAAGAAAGTTGTCAGCATTGCTTTACAGATGCACCAAGCTTCGGCTGCATTCGTTTGCAGAGCTGGGAGACCCATTGGCTGTTGGGGGATGGTTGAGATGAACCTGTGGGCTGAAATCCCACACAGTAACCCACAAGTACAAATGAATCACCTCCTGTGTCTATCACCCCATCAGCAGCTGTACAATACAAGAAAGAGAAGAAGCGCAAAGCACAGAACTGCACAGTGAGAACTGCTGATCAGGACCCAGCCTGATAACCTGATTACTGTATGGTGAAGACACTAAACCCTATTAACTTTAAAAGAGGTCAGAGCTAGCCTCCACCCATAATGCCAAAATCAGTGAGTTTCCAAGTGGCCTAATGGATAGGCTTCGTGGGAGAATAGAGGAAAAGGAACAACAAGGGGTACAAGACTGGGGGTGGGGTGGAGAAGTCTGATGATTGGAGAGGAGTGAGAAAATGGGGGCAGTCGTGTAGTTCCTCACGGTCTGAAACCTCAGAAAGCGCCAGCTCTGTGGACCTTTCTGCCTACGCTTAGACCTGGGCATCTGGTCACTGCAAGGGTTTCGGGTCAGGTTTCTCAGTCTGGATACGCACCGTCAGCCAGCGCCAGGGCACACACTGCCCGGCCCCGGAGCCACTGGGGGCCACGGGGGCCGGCGAGGGCGGGGCGGGGGCGGGGCGAGCGGGAGGGCGGGGCTGTGCTCTCGCCCGCTCCCAGCTGCTGCCGCCGCCGCCGCTTCCTCCCGCCGAGCTGACCGAGAGAACCGGGTAGCAGCCGCCTGCCCGCCAGCCAGCCCGCGTGCCGGGGCTGCGGTGGGCCAGGATGTCGGGCTTCCTAGAGGAGCTGCTGGGAGAGAAGCTAGTGACGGGCAGCGGCGAAGAAGTGGACGTGCACTCGCTGGGCGCCCGCGGCATCTCGCTGCTCGGGCTCTACTTCGGCTGCAGCCTGAGCGCCCCCTGCGCGCAGCTCAGCGCCAGCCTGGCCGCCTTCTACTGCCGCCTGCGGGGGGACACGGCGGCCGGGCCGGGGGCCGGGGCTGGGCCGGGGCCGGGGGCCGGGGCGGCCGCGGAGCCCGAGCCGCGGCGACGCCTGGAGATCGTCTTCGTGTCCTCGGACCAGGACCAGCGGCAGTGGCAGGACTTCGTGCGGGACATGCCGTGGCTGGCGCTGCCCTACAAGGAGAAGCACAGGAAGGTGAGCGGCGCGGGCCTGTCGCGCCCCTGGCCTCGTGAGCCCCTCTTGGGAGCCGAGTCTTCGCCACCCCTAACCCTGTTATCCCTCCGTCCTCCTTCTCCATCTTGGCAGCCCCCCTCCCCCTGCGCGCACGAACCCCCTTTCCAGGACCCCGCCGGATTGGGGCGCTGCGGCAACTCCTAGGTGCAGTGCCAGGCTGCGCCCGCTCTGGAAAGTTTGACGCCCCTTGTCCCCCCTGTCCCCCATCCGGCAGTCCGGATTCCGGGCTTAAACTGTGGCCCTAAGAGCCTCTTGTCCTCATATGTTGGGAGCCTCGCGAAAAAGGGTGGTTGTGCTCTGGGGTCCCAACTCTATGGTCACCCCCTTAACCAGCAGAGGTGCAGGAAGGGGCCTCTTCCTCGACCACTTGACTCCCAGTTGGATACCTGTAATGGGTGGGGGAGGCTGCTAGCCCCCTACCCATAATGCCCAAACCAGGAAGTTTCCTTTCTTTCCGAGAGAAAATTTGCTTTCCTGGGGCCCCCTCTTCTGTAACTAGGGACCTAGAAGCTGAGTCCGAGGTTAGGCCACCCTGTCCCAGGGAGGCAGCTGCTGACCGTGGCTTTGGGTGAGAAAGAAGCTCCTTTCTCCTTCTTGTTTCTGTCGCCCCCTGTCCAGCCCCCGGGCTGAATTAGTGGCCTCGGGAGAGCTTTTCATTGTCTGGCTGTCCGCTATCCTCCCAGGCCCAGGAACAGCCCTGTCCTTGTAGATCCCTTAGTTTCGTGGTGGGCCACTGTTGTGCTGACATACTTCAAATTAAATGCAGAACTGATCCCATAGGTGTAGACTGACTGGAAAAAGACATTTGGGGGGAAATTCATACTTCCCTCTCAACTTCATTCCTCCCAATTTAATTTGCTGCTGAAGTGTGTGTGTGTGTGTGTGTGTGTGTGTATCTGTTGGCTGAAGACATCTGTTTCAACAAAACAAATTTAGAACGCTTGGTAATGAATACTAACAGAAAGTTTTGGAGCCCTTTGCTTAATTAGTTTGTGGCTAATGCAACATGTGAGTCCAACCCCTTTCCTTTTGGAAGGGAATCTCAGTTTATTGGTGGACAGGAGAAAGGCTACTCTGCTGGCGTTTAGGTTCCTCTAGGGAGGACTGGTAACACATGCCATGTGTTTCTTTTATGTGTACGGAATCTTTGAGAGGCATGATTTAGATTTAGTGAGAGCAAAAAACTTATACTGTGACCCCAGATGTCTCAAGTAAATCATCCCAAAGCAGTGTAAGGTATGGAATTGAGATTTAAGGTATGAAATATAGTTTAACAAATACAGTTTGTAAATTTAACATTTAAAAAATGGGTTCACTAACCACACAGAGGCAAGAGTTTGCATTTTTTTAAAGACTTCGCATCTTAACCACTTTGTAGGTTATCTTGCGCATGCTGTAGTTCATTTATATGCTTGATAAGCCACGAATATGCATGGTTAGTACTTTTTGCTTCAAAATATGGGAATCCTTTGTTTCTCTTGGTAGTTTTTATGATCCTTCTGGGGAGAAATAATGTTCAAAAAGTGATTTATCAAAAAATATTTTCATCATGGTGGCCGGTTTCTGTTGTAGGCAAAAATCTGTTCAAAATCATGTCCTTATTGAGCAATGCAAATGATTTCTAGCTTTTGAAAATATACAGTGAGTTGTAGAATGTTACTGTGTTTCTTACAGAAGGAGAAATAAAATTGCTGGAAAGTTAAAAGCTTGGAGCAAACTGAGGTTTTGGGGAAAGATTTAAGAGTTTTTCTTAAAAAGGAGCACATTTGACATGACATTAGGCCATGCCTGATTTTCTTTTCTCTGACCAGACTTTTTGCATGAAAAAAAAGCGTTCTGTGCCCCTCGCTTGCTGCTAATTCCACCAAGATGAGCATCTGGTTGACACCAGGCAGGCTGTCATTTCAAAACACAGCCCAGAATGCTGTGCCTAAACCTCAGTGTATTTGCATCTTAAAATTTTATTGTAATGAAAACAATTGTTATGGTGCTTGGGACACAATCCAGGACATCCTCAGGCCCCCCACCCCACCCCCCTGCAAATTTCTTTTTTGCTCAGACTCATACCTGATAGTTTAGGTATTCTCTAAAAGCAAACCACTTTTCAAGCAGGTGATTTCTGGCTCTCTGTGTTGGTGAATAGGCAGCTCAGGATTTGATCTCAGAAACATTCTTATTCGTGGCACTATATACCAGGTAAAAAGACTCCAGCTGGTTTTCTTATGGAAAACATACTGTTGAAAATCACAAAAGCTGTGTAGTCACTTTGAAAGGAATTATTTTTTCCCCCTTGAAAACAAAGAGATATAAAATGAATTGCTCTTCTGTAACTGAGTTTTTGTCTCTGTTACTTAAATTCCGGGTTCATAGAAATTTGAATTTTTGGTACTAATTTCACCATAAACCTAGCCTTACTGAGTTGTCGATAAACCTAGCCTGCCCCCAGTTGAGCATGATGGACGGGTGAACACATTTTGTTGCTGGATTCTTTCCATGTTGTTTCACCAACAATAGAAATAGTCTTAAAGAGGGGAATTTTGTTTTACACTGAAGGGAAACCAAGGTTCCAGATTATATTTTTTTAAGTTCTCATTAACATGTGTTTTTAAAAACCATTTGTGTACTTCTTCCCATTGGGATAACAAAGGATATGTTTCTAATTAGCTGTTGGCTGGCATTTCTCTAAAGAAAATTGAAAAATTATGGTGGGGAAAGAAAATGCTATGTGGTATTTCTTTTTTTTTTTTTTTCTTCTTCTTCTTTTATTAATTTCTCCTTTATATAGTAAGAAAGTCTGGGGATGACCATATATGTTCTGCCTGCATTTTGCTGGCTCTGCTCACCTCCACTGGAGACGTGAAGAACATTGCATAAAGGGATTCTAGGATCTTTATTTTTTTAATCCCTTATGGAAGGTTGTCTTGTTTCTGCAATAGATACAAAAGTCATTGTAACTTTGTTTTCTTCTAGAACACATACATTATTATAGAGCTGTATAGACCTTGTAATTAGATGATAATAGAACTTCGGGTGTATTTATAAGAGCATTTTTGTCAAGAAACCTATAATCCTGAAGTTAAAGCGGGTAAGCTTGTTTTAATAAGCAGGTTGGTAGACTTTTTCAGATTTGCGAAGAGAGACACTGTGATGAATACTTGGAGAGTTGTGAAGACTGGACCTTTTGGGATTTGGTCTGTCCCTTCAGATGAATGTCAGTTACTGAGTTGTCGATAAGGTCCATCTCTAAGACCCACTGGGGGATCACAGAAGTGAGCGCTGGTTTGGGATTTAAAGCCACAGGACCTGATACCTGATGGAAAACATTTGGTCACTAGGAGTGTGCTGACATCAAAGGGTGCAGACCACTGGCCTCCCTCTGGACAGGTTTATTGGGCTCTGGCTTGGTCCCAGAACCTTCTTTGTAACAGGAAGAGGAAGTTGGGGTAGAAAGAGTAGCAAGATCAGGGCTGTGGTCCAGCATCCTGGTTTACCTGATTGATCAAGAAACTAAATCCATCCTACAAGGGACCCTGTGTGGGCTTCTTGCCCTGACTGTTCTGAATAGTTCTTTTGGTTCAGACTAAATTAGAAGCATGGTCTAGAATTGATCTGAGTTCCTTTGGTTATTTGGATGAAACAAGATTTGGTGTTAACCCTGCATCCATCTCTCCTATTTCTCAAATCCAAATACTTGGCTAATAAAAGATCAATTTTATCTTCTTATTCATATTCAAGGTAGTAGAAGATGGCAAAAACCCAGAATTGTATTTTATTTTATTTTTTGGCAGAACTGGGGATTGAACTCAAGCCCTTGTGCTTGCCAGGCAAGCACTTATTTTACTGAGCTATCTCCCCAGCCCCCCAAAATTTTAAAATGTAGGGGTTTCTGCCTTCCTCTCATAAGATGCATGGGCCAGCAGACCAGTCTCCCCTTGGTGACTATTTACAGATTTGGGATCAGTCTAATAAAAGACAACAGAGCACCACACTCCCCGTGTGGTGGCACACAGGTATAATCTCAGCACTCTGAGAGCTGGGGGCAGGAGGATAGTGAGTTCAGGTCCAGTCTGGGCAATTTAGCAACCCAGTGAGACCCTGTCTCAAAGTAAAAATATTGAAAATGGGCTGGGGATATTGCTCAGTTCAAAGGCCCTGCTGGGGTTCAGTCCACAGTACTGCAAACCAAAACAAAAAGCAGTGCAATTAATGTATGAAAGCAATGTTCCTTGAGAGACATTTTCTTTGTTGCATTACTTGTAGTGTGTGGGGGGGGGCGGGGGTTGTGGTTTTGGAGACTGAACCCAGAACCTTTGCACTGAGCTATAGCTTCAGTCTTTTTATTTTTTTATTTTTAGGGAAGGGTCTACAGGGTGTTCAGGGTCTCACTACTAGATTGGACTCATAGTGATATGCCTGGTTACAGCCTCCCAAGAGCTGAGATTAAGGTGAGCACCACCACCCCGTCTCAATTGCCATCTCAGCATGTCCTGGGGGGCGGGGCCACCACGGCAGGCCTCTGGGATTGAACCCCAACCCCTGCGCCTGCTTGCAGGTGCTTTAATCCTCTGAGCTATTTGGCCAGCCATCTCCAGTCATTTTTTATTTTGAAATGGGTTTCACTGGGCTGGGTTGATAGCTCAGTGGCATAAATGCCTGCCTGGCAAGTGGAAGGTCTTGAGATCAATACTCAGTACAAGGAAAAAAAAGAAAAAAAGACATGTGAAATGGGTCCCACTAAGTTGGCCAGGCTGGGCTTGAACTTGTAATTCTCTTGCTTCAACCTCCGAGTAGCTGGGATTACAGGTGTGTACCATCACACCCAGCTTGGTAGTGTGTTTTTAAATCTAATTCTTTCCTATGTGGTGAAACATTTTAATGGCTGCAAATGTAGGTTCTTTAGTCCTGAGTACAGACACTGCTGCTGCTGTTCTTTGGCTGTGGATCTTGTGCAAGATACTCAT